TGCACAAAGCGTGATTGGTTTAATCGAAATCGTTACTCCCTCTACGGTATTAATTTATGGAAACGGGATTACGACAGCTCAACTTTGCTCTTACAATTGGTGTTTAGCTTGATCAAGGATTACGTCCAACGTCCGAAGTATGCAGCGCTTCGCAAGACCAACCTCTTTTTCACATATGACCGGCAGCCATTTGATGTTGGTGATTGGTATCGCACTGTGCGATTAAATCCTGCTGCTAACCACAATGAGGGTCGTCATACGCCCATCTCCCCAGCATCCTCCACCGTCACTCTTAGTCCCGACGGCAATCGTAGTTGGCTAGACTCCGAAATAGATGCTCGTCGGAATAATCAGCGTGAGACTTCATTAACCCGGCGCAGTCCCGCTCCTCTTCCCTTTGATCCGCCAAATCACCTGCTGTGGAAGGAATATGTTTCTCCCAACTGGCAAAAATCTCTAGTGTGCAGTTCTGCGAGATCGCAGACTCTTCCACCACCCGGTGCCTCATCTCTTCGTCACGCTTCCCCGACTCCGCCTCCCCTTTCAAATGCTTTTGAGAAGTCCGGAGTTCTCGGTTCCAATTCATCCGGTTTGTTCGCTATCTATGTATAAATCTCCAAATATTCTGGGGTTTCGAGTGGTGTCAGTTTTCTGCACTCGAGTAGTCCCGTTTATGATCTACTCCTGATCAACTCTTTAACACTTGTCCTTTATGTTCTGGTATTAAGCTGTTTATAATCTTGTTAAATTTATTCGCTGTCTTCGGATCACAGAGCATTAAGTTCCTTGCAATTCCAAATATTCGGAATCCTCATCTTCGTTTGCGCTAGTGGTATGATTGGTATCCACGTTTTATTCTATTCCCTATTCATTATTTTCCATTTACCACCCAAGCAACCTAACTATCTACATCCGTGATCGCTGCTTAGTATGCAACACAACATTCACACGTGCCATTTTATTGTAGTATAAGGTAGCAGAAGCCTCGTTACACAACACTTATCTCATGTCACCAAGCTACACAAAATCATCTATCATTTTGCCATTAGTATTGCGCGCTTCCGCCTTTTACTTGCCATATTCCTCTTGGAAAGCTGATTTTTTTTATCAAATTGGAATAGGCGAACGTAAATCATAGTTACCTGTATATCAAAGACCTTGTCTGTTTGGTAGTGCCATTTGCTTACATCGCCCTGCATTGGTCTCATTTATAATGTACATCTAACTTTTCTTCTGTTCTGCACTATCATGCTTATATGTATCAGTTCCGCGTTTGTGTCGTTCTTTCACCAAAAGCTGTGAACTGTTGAAACTTGACAACGTGTTCACTTATGTAGAGGCGAAAAGGCATTTTTTCATGTCAAAGTAATGAAAATGACTGGTGTGTTTTATTTACTGTTTTATCCACATTATTGGTTACGTATTTATTTGGAAATTTTTAGAATATATTGCTTTTGTTCATTTCTCCTAAGCTGTTTGAATAATGATAACCTATCCGACGTAAAACGATGTCACGCATTACTCTTGCATTGCAAAGGTGGTAGTGGTAGTCCAGAGAATGTGGTACTACGCAACCGAGGCCGTCCGCGCGTTTCTTCTGGTCGAAAACATTCGGAGACCTCTGAAATAGTGCCACCAGTGGCCGTGGACGTCCGTCGGAACGCATTTTACCCCCACCTTGGCAACAGCGATAGTGGTGGAGATGCAGGCGACTCCCCATGCGATCGTAACACAACCTATACTACCACCTTGCAGGCCTACTTGAACTGTCTCAGTCAGCAGCAGCA